ATTTCCTGTGAGAAAACGGATATGTCTTAATTTGTGATTTTTAAAGGTGCTGGTTGGTGGGTTTGTTACCCTCGGAAAGAGCCACGTTAGCTGTTTCCAGTCTTTGTGCTAAGCTAGGTTAATTTGTATTTGTATTGGACATAACTGAGATTGGTGAGCCAGCAAGAAAATAAACATGCATCATAAAAATGTCTAACTATTCCTTTAATATATCCTAATGCATTGTCTTGGCTTACACAGCCCAAGTCTGTAAGGTTGTGTGTCAGCTGAAAAGCAGACTCCCATCTTAAAAGAAATATGTATAACAACCACACTGTTGCTGTTTGAGTCCGACAGACTTTCAAGAGCTGTTGCCTGCTCATGAGTTGTTTACCTGTATCCCTGTACCATAGCGTGCCTGCCTGTTGTAAGGCAGGAATTCCACAGAGAGCCAGTGAAACAGCAGGAGGCCAGAGGATCCAGAGAAAATGGCCATAAACTGGTGCCATTAACTGCAGCGTTCAAACCTTTGCTTCATGTTCTTCTGTTCCCAGCCTCAGGCGCCGTTTACACGAGGAGAAAACTGCTTGTATCTGCATAGTTTCGCGTGCGTATAGCCCTATTATTTACACGAGGCCGATAGAAACTGACCCCACAAACGATAACGGGTCCCAAGGTGGATAGGTTTGCAAACTAAACGCTCTGGGGGGTCAACCGAGTCCGTGTAATCACCTCTATACGAATATTTCCTGAAAAAATAGCGATAGCCCCACCTCTCCTGCTCACTGCTGTAGCAACTATCAAAAATAGCTGTGTTAATTAAACGCACAAGGGGTTCTTGAATGAAATAATATTATAAAAGGCAAACCAGAATTGTTAACGCCCAATATACTCCTTAAACAAAATAAACAGTCAGATTTCATGCATTGATCCATTATATTGACAAAGGAGGATCTCACCCGGTGTTTGTAGAGAATATCTCTCTTTCTGAGCCGTCCTCTCCACGGAGACGTGCTTCTTGGTCGGTCGATGCAATATCCACAGATTCGGTTTCTTTCAGTTAACTTCCCCGTTGCATTTATCCATATGCTGAGGAAATGACTATATCCCGCTGAATACCAGCAATCACCACACACACTTCCTCCTGTCAGTAGCTACTGCTAGTGCTACTGCTACTGACCATGCTACAGATATTAGTGCAAAAATCTACAGCTCCTCTACCACAACCATCAGCAACAAGTGGACATGGAGAATTACATGAACTACATGTTGCTAAATACACCGCGGGGCATAAACAGAAGGGTAGCCATGGCAACATTGCGGCGGGGGCTGCTGGGCTGCTCTTCTTCGCTACTTTTGGTGTATTTTGGCGGAAGTTACAGCACCACTTACAGTCCCGGCATATGTACTACAGCGTTTCCAGCGGCCTCGTTTGAACAGACACGTTAAATGAAACAAATGCATGTGAACGGAAGACTTTTTTGAATACGCATACTGTGCATAAACGCAAACGGTCCCGTGTGAGCGGGGCCTCAGTCTCTGCTTCCTTTACCTCTCTCACCTCTCGTTCTTTCATTTGTTCAAGGTTACTCTGTACTCAGGAAAAAGCCTGAGAGCTATTCAGTTGCCACTTTAGTCATGAGCCATGATCTCCATCATTTTCTTTTTACTGTTATGGCATAAGTGTTCTGCGCAGTGAGATATAAATTGCCACAGCAATGATGCAAACGATACGAGAAAAGTGTAGATGGAGAACATCTGCTTTATTTGTAACTTGTCTGTAATGAAATGGGCCCTTATGCCAGCATTACGGAGTGTTACATTGGACAATGTTTACCAAATTGTCATACACAGATGTCCCCAGTGAAACATCAGTTACTATAATATACATTTAGAATTTAAAATTAATGCATTGTTATGTGTATCAACGACGGCCCTGCGCTGACTGTGCGTGGTGTGAAGGGTTGGTGTTCCTGCTGTAGAGTAAATGTAAAGCCCTCTGTTCTGCAGCTCCATATATAGCTTACTCTTACTTCAACATCTACTCACTCCTAAGGTGTTTCTTTTGAACCTTTGCATTGTGTGTGTGTGGGCTGTTACTGTAAAAGCAGTTCTTTCACCGGGTGTTATGAAAGAGACATGATTTCCTCTGGACCGCCTGCAAAACACGACCACACCCACGGGGAACAAGAAAACCTTCCCACAGGCTTTGTTATTCTGTTTGTATGAAAGTGCTTTGGACATAATGGGGTTATTAGCAGCTTTATACGTTTTATAGAAAGGGTTATAGCAGACGCCGGGTTATCTGAAATGTTGCCAGACAGAGCAAGTAACGCGCCTGACCTTCTGTAGTTGCTTGTCTCATGCAAGCGTCCGCCCACCTGCTGAGCCCCTGTTGAACTTTTGTGATGTCGCCCACACAGACTGCCTTTCAGTCAATGGGTTATATTGTGGTTAGTAAGAGTGTTTACCACTAGATCATTTTTCTTCTTTCAGACTATGCATCAAACATGTAGAGGAAATACATTCTCTGAGAAGACAGCCTTGCTTTAGAGCAGGGGTGGGGAACCTTTTTCCTCTCAAGGGCCATTTCAATTTTTTCAACATCCTCCGAGGGCCGTACAAATGATTGACCTCTGCTTAAAAATACAAAAATCACTTTGCCTTTCTTTCATGCTGTACAAAGAAAAAGCAACCTCTTAATCCAGATATCTTATCATGACTCGCGTATGCATGCACGTGCACGGTTGTGACATGACCACCACAACAGAAAGATATGGACACAAGATGTGTGCAAATATATTTAGTTTCCTACATGATTTAAGGAGATCTATGGATACATCTCTCAACATCCATATGAAACGGAACTGTAAGCAGATTTTATTTTTATTTATGGATATTTTACAAATCACTCTCCTTTCAAACTGTATTCTTGTTATATTCGTTAGCATAGCTAGCTAACCAGATGCTAATAACAACAAAGTTATTGACTGTATGATCAGTATGACCGATGAACAGATCGCCACTGGGCTTTCAACTAAAGACACAGCCACGCAAAAACTGCGGCATGTGTACGGCTCCTTATGGGTACTGCCATTTCTGAAGTGCCGTTGCGACGTTCTGGTGCTCTCCGTCAGAACCACGTGATGACACGTTAGCCTCGTGTTGTGTTCAAGGACCCTGACCTTGGCCAGGAAAACAGGCACTCGCTTGTTTAATTATTTTGCGGTCTAGATTTCTTTAATTTTTGTCTTTTTTGCGTGTGTTTATAAATTACCTCGAGGGCCGTACCAAATGGTCTCGCGGTCCGTATACGGCCCGGAGGCCGGAGGTTCCCCACCCCTGCTTTAGAGGTAGCTTAGCCAGAGTTAGCTTAGTATATCTTTGGCAGTTACTAGAAGGACAAACTTTATTTACAGCTTCCCTGTGGAGTTTTTGACCTTTTGTGGTACTAAGGAGTTGTTTATCCATGTGTGGGTGTTAATCGTGTGCGTGCACGGTAGGATGCACACGCCAATGGTCTTTGACAGGTGAATCTAATGAGCCACGATATGCAGGAAAACAGGCGAGAAAAGGACCGCTAGCAAGTTAACATGGAAGTTAAAAATACAGGATATAAAATACTTGAAATGTACACTTTGCAATTTATTTATCTTTAATGAGGAATGACCAAAAGTACACATTAACTTTATTTGTTTACAGGAACACTCCAAAGGCACCTTTTTAAGTAGAAATGTGTTACATTAACTTTAAGTATGTTCTCCAAGTGTGGTATTAGTAATCACTGTATGACATGTATAGTGTGTTTTCGAGACTCAGCTTTCAGAATGAGAACATTGCCGTGCAGTGTTGCTTCAGATCCTCAAGTGTAGGTACCAAGTGTCTTCTTAAAATGACGGATGGAGCTGCATTTTTCATGCAGTGTTGTTGGCTCTCCAAATACAGTCCAACATCTTTCTGTTATTTGTACCAGAGCATTGGCATTCAGCACAGCTCATCTGAAAACATAATAATATACACCATTAAATTGTGCTTAAGCCTCTTATATTTCTCAAATCAACACCTCACATCCTCACTAGTCCATCATTATATTTTTCCTTTCATCGCCCGAGACCTAGGATCAGCAGAGGCCTGAGTGATGCGACGCTGTTCTGCTTACTCGGGTAGAAATTCCCCTTCAGGACGTTTTCTAATAGAATGACGTCTCTCCAGATAGGCCGCATGTTCCTGCTCTGTATGGCCTTCACACACACGGTTTAGCAGAGCTCTGCTCATGATTCACAGGGAGGCACCGGTCCATTTGCCTCCTTGTCTGATCAATGATGGATGGGCACAGTCAATGCGCATACTTAGACATTCAAAGATCATAGCCAATGAAGATACTGAGCTTCAGAAGTCGCTGCAAGTTGGTCTGATATAATGGCATCTTCTTGTGTCCTTTACACTGTCATACCTGCGTGGGACGGATTCAGTAATTGGCAGGATTGATTTATTCCTCGCTTGCTCTTGTCAAGAAAAGATATTGGCCGCTCACTGGCATAATTGAGCCCACCAGCAGCTCCCCAGATCCTCGCCAGAACTGAATTGGTGACAAATTAAAGGAAGCTCTCTCTCTTCTCTCTTCTGTCACTTGTTCCTCTTTCACTTTGAAATCCTCTGAGCTGCTACGCTACTGTCACAGCTTTACTGCTCAGTATGAGACCTTGAATCTTTTGTTGCTCTTGAATTCTTGTGTGTTTCTCCTTTTGTATTCAGCCTGTAGGCATACTGTGGTGTGAAATATGAAATTGGCATCGCATGCTCAAAAGGTTTCGCCTCAAGCAGTTTAACTTTCCCTCCTATTTTTTTGACATTTGCCCCACAGAAATGACATAAATTTCTCTTGTATTAAGTGATACTGAGGTTTGAATGTGTTTTCACTAACCCTAATATTAAGGGTCTTTGCTTGTCAATAATGATTTAAAACTAGATTAAAATACAACAGAATAAAACTGACATGTTAATATGTCATCTCTCTGCAGGTGCCCTCACAGTCGGTCTGGTCCGGCAGTGTCAGACCATCCACGGGCGAGACCGGACCTGTATCCCCCCCCGGCTGCCCCCGGAGTGGGTCACCACACTGTTCTTCATCATCATGGGCATCATCTCCCTCACAGTCACCTGTGGACTGCTCGTGGCATCACACTGGCGCCGAGAAGCCACCAAATACGCTCGATGGATCGCCTTTACTGGCAGTAAGTGAACCAGACGATGACATTTGCGCTGGATAAAGTAGTTTTGCTTTACTAGATCGGCTGTCAGCACATTTGCCCTCGGAGCTTTCTCACTGCATCTTTTATGGCATAACCTTTCCAAAGTCACTCTTGCATCTTTAGCTTTGTCATAAGCATTAGTCTTTCAAGGGCAGGACATAATAGTGATGATTTTAAAACAGAGTGAAATATTGGCCCAGATTTGCATTGCTAATATGAAAATGAGTGAGATGTCATCCGAGGCTTCATACAGGACCCGTTGTGTGTTTGTGTTTCTGAGTCACGTCAAAACCTGTGTGGGTTTTTTTGTACCACCGGGTGTTTAGATGCATTTGCAAATTCATGAGTGTTTTTCTTGCATGTTTAGTAGCCCCTCTCGCTCCCTGAATCTGATTTATTGAGTAATGTGCAGCTCCTCGGATACCCGAGTGGGTGGCTTATGTGCCACAGCATCTCTCTAGTGCCTTCTCTCCCTGTTCGCCTCGAACATCGCCACTTATTTTCCGATCATGATTTCTGTAGATGGATGCGCTTCCAGCCACAATAATAACTCAGCATCCATCTAATGTACAGCAGCTGGGCTGTGTGGGAGGGTGGAGTTTGATTGGCCGCTTAGTTAAGGAAAGAGACGGCCTGAAGCACACTCGTACAGATGGAGCGATGGCCCGTGGAGCCACAATGCTCTGTATTATTGTTCGAAAGCTGGGTGCATTTTTCAGCACACTGTGGCTTTTTTGTTCTGCTGATTTGAACAAACACCCAGTGCTTTCGTCAAGATTATTTTCTAAGCCTGCCGGGCCAAATGCAGAGTCATAATCAGCGCTCCCTAATCACTTGCAAACTCCCAATGAATCACCACTTTCTCCACAAACTGGTCCGTCTTTCCAATAAGCACAAATCTGTATCTAAATTGGATGCCGTTAAGTCATTGTTTTACCATCACGCTTAAAGGGAAGTAAGGCTGTTGCCATGGAAACTGTGAGCCATTGTCACCCTTGTCCCCTTATTAAGCTTCAGTTGGCCACATTAGACAGAAGAGGTTTATTGTTGTTATGCTTTTTAACAGGTTCAATGCAAAATGCTGATTGTCAGGAAATAGTGCTGGGGGGATTTTATATATTTAAGGAACAAGGTAGAAGAAGCTTGGTTTGTTGAGAAACAAAAAGTAATCTCTTATTTTGTTGTAGGATCCCCGTTAGCCTAAAGGCTCTGACACACCAGGCCGTATTCGGCCGCCTTCGGTTGTCTGGCGACAACGCGTTCCTTGTCGCCCAAAGTCAATTTGGTGTGTCCTGAACCCTCGGCCGTGACACGCCTTATTTGGCCTTTTACGGTCGACATATGGCCGATTCAACATGTTGAATCGGCCAAAATACGGACACAAGCTATCGGGCCAAGAAACCACTCTGATCAGCTGTTCAGCTAGCAAATGAGAAGCGAAACGGAAGTGAGGGACGTAAACAAACGATTTAAGGCACAGGACAGCAGCTAAACACCAGCAGGTGATAGGCTACTTAAAGACATCAAACATAGCCCTTAAATGTCCTCTCTTACCTCCCACACATAGCAGGGACATCTCTGATATCGGCGGGAGCGTCCCCGGCTGTCCTCTGCTGAGAGCTCCGTGATTTGTTTGGTCAAGTCCGGTTTATTTGTCAGTATGAAGTTGCAGGATTAGTCTCAAGTACCTCAACATTGTCCTTAAGTACAGTGTCTAAGTAAATGAGATAGTGTCTACTGCTGTTCATTTACCTATTGTGAGTCGCCTCGGATAAAAGCATCACATGGAAATGTAAATTTAGCAAGAAGTGGCCATTATTACATTACATACATTATTACATTGCTGACTCAATAAACTACACACCCGCCAGAACACTGCGATCATCAGATGCAGGTCTATTAACTGTGATTTTATAGTATGTCTGCACTTAATGTGCTCATTTCATCATTCACGTATTTTTATATTCTAAAACATGTTTTCGATGGATGAGAGTGAAAATGGAACGCACACGCTATTTGCTGTTTGTTTATATCACAGTCTGTTCTTCTTCTCTTTCTTCCGGTTGTTGCCTATTTTGAATGACGAATACACACTACCGCCGCCTGCTGGTAAGGAGAGTTATTGCCACTCACGCATGCGCAGTTCGTACTTGCTCGGCTGAAGTCTTTGCGGTGTGTTCCAGTGCGACACATGGCCAAGACGCAGGAGAACTCGTCGATGGAACTGTCGGTGTCGGCGAGTTCTCTGGTGACTGCCTGGTGTGTCAGGGCCTTAAGTTGTAGCCACTGATGGTCAACCTGGGATACTCTGTTATGTCACAAGTCTGTTTAAATTGTAGGAGAGGGAAGAAATGGCAAAATTTGACTTTGAAATTACATTCTGTCCCTTGTGATGTTGCTACATTTGTATCAGCAGCAATGCGAACACCTCTCTGCCTTCGGCCCAGCAGAGTTAGCGGGTAAAAGGTCATGTGAGGAAACGGCTGGGGGCTTAGGAAGAGTTGAGTAAAGAAGCCGAGTTGAGTGGAAAATGAATCCTTGTGCAGGGCTGAGAGCCAAGGTAAAGACAAAAATGGACATGGAGAGACGATGAATAAAGTGAGGTTGGTTTTAAGGAGACAGGTTGGTGCATTCAGGGTAACCAGGGGATGAAGGTTGAGGGAAGGTGGACCGTCTGTAGTGGAACTCCAAGCCACCGCCTCCTGAATGGAGAGCTTTGTACGTCCAGCACAGACTCGCCTCTGTGTCGCTACACACACACAAACACACACTCACACTCAAACCAGCAGTGTTTCCCTAAGGTGTGAGAGTCATCTGTAGGAGGGGGACTGGGAGTGGAGTTAAAATGAATACAATGTTTACAGTACATTAACATTTACTGCAGTGGAAATTACAATATATAAATAATTAGGTATTGATTGGAGCCACATACACCTGTATCCAGTCCATCGATCACATTGTTAGTCCATCTTGATTTGAAGAGTAGCTTAACATTAATCCACTCTTTTGAGTTTATAAATAACATGTATACTCCCTTTATTACACTGTATGTTTATCCCCTTGTGTTGAATACCTCATTAGTTACTTAATGAGAAAAGACATACTGTATGTTTGGCTTCCATAAACACAAACATGCAGAAATATTGACTATCACGTCATACTAAGAAAGCAGCAAATCCTGACATTTAGAAAGCTGGAAACAGAAAATGTTAAACATGAAAAAGGATTAATTATTAATGAGTTATCAAAATAGTTCAACCCAATTATTTAAGTTCAAAGGTTATTTCTATACTAAACATTAGTAGCTATACGTTATTAGTCCATTAGCTAAATTGCTGTAGTTCGATCAGCAGCAGGTTAGCGAGGCGCCGTGTGTCATCAGTTCAGGCTTTTAAGAGAAGCAGTGAACTGTGATGTGCACTTTAATTAACTCACTGGTGAAGCTTGCAGGAGAAATGCTGAGCCATGTATTTCTGGCCAAAAGTTTTGCTTACCGTATCCCTTTGCAATCTCGCCCCCCTAATAGATTAACACTTTGAACAATGAGCAGGCAAAAACAGCGTAAATATTAGCTTGTGTGTGGTGCAGCTTTACCAAATGTAATGGTTTAAACGTCAGGGATTTGTTTGATCAAAAAAGTACATTGACAAGATCTGTTAAAAGAGCAATACCACAAAGAAAACGGTTTAAATAGCTGCATGGATATCGCAATGTGTTAGAAAATATCACTCGTCACCGGCTTGAGCTTCAATATCAGGATACATGTATGTATTATCCTTGCAAGAATGGAAGTAGTCATCACGCACAGAGGTGCATGGGACAAATAGTTCCCAGAACAGTGTCCTTCACATGCCTTATATGCAAGAGAGGGTGTTCCAGTCACAACATGCAAGAATACTGGCTAAGGCCCACGTAAGCAATAAACATGACAGTCATATGCCTATCTATCTAGGGCACATGTGTCAAACTCAAGGCCCGGGGGCCAAATCAGGCCCTTGGTGGATTTAATTTCGGCCCGCAGGATAATTTTGTATTACTATTAGATCTGGCCCTCCGGTATATTGCACGCACACCTTCACTCCATCCTGAGGATTTCCTCAGCTCAGAGCCTGACCCCAAACATTGATGAACTTGCACCCAAGATGCGATGCCAAGTATCTGGCTTGAACTAGCATCACAGAGCAGCAAACTGAGTTTCAATGGATGTTTCCTTTTGCACTTTTTATCTTGAGACAACAGGGCATGTTTGGATTTTTCTTTGAGGGAAATCGTTTTTTTGAAGCTGTTGTTGGCCTGTGGAAAAATGTAATCATAAGAAATGACTGCAGATAGAGCCATTAGAAATGAATGCAACTGATTATTTAATGTTTAATGTTGTTTTTATAGGCAATAATTTAAGCTTTGTTAGTTCCAGGTTTAATATGTGCAATAAGTTAATTTCAATACGTTTTGCAATAAACATTGAACCAGTCCGGCCCTCGACTAGTACCGATCTTTTAATTTTGGCCCACTGTGTATTTGAGTTTGACACCCCTGATCTAGGGGCTGAATCATCATGTTAATCGTTGTCACATAGCTAACATACGCCTAAAACAGTGTGTCCTGACGCTCTTCTAGGTAATCATACATCCGGTTACATACACAGCTACGTAGGGCCTTTGTTCTACTCTGATATTAGAAGAGTACATTCAGTATTTTCCCAACACAATGGTATTCAGATTAAATATGGGGGCAATTTGTCATATGTATTGTGAGACATACTGTTAATGCCATCCCACAATTATAAACAAATAGCCCCATTGATTCTATCCATATCGCTAATTTCTAATTACTTATTTAATCTCTGGGGTCATTTGTAGACACTGATTGACAGCCACAACATTTATTTTGGTAATCCCAGTGCTACTACAGTCTCCTCCAGCTGCAAGAGACTTCAAATCTGATTAAAGCAACATCAGTGAGATGTTTGAGGCTGAGAGAAGTCATCCCTCAGGTACTGAACAGTTTCTCTAATTGGAAAAGGAGAGAAAGCTAAAAACGGCTTCATGAGCTGTCACCAAAATGCATTACACACTTTGCAGGAAACCAAAATAACTCGACATATCCTCAGTTTACTTTCAAAGGCTGTCATACTTTTTGTTGGAGAACAAGGGGCTTGAAACTAAGATGGTTGATAATGTATGCAGTGTACATATAGTGAGTCCCACCCCCCTCATAGGCCCAACCATGCTACTACAGACAGTGCAGGATGAAATGCTAATCAAACATTCCACTGTGCTCTTTGAATGCTACAATAACAAGTTATTTTTAGGCACCTAAAGCTATTTTTCGAATTCTGCGGAGCCATTGTTCTGTGATTCCAAACAGTTACAGTTTAACACCACGGGGTTACAGAAGGAGACTCAGAGGTGGACCCAAAGCTTCAGTTTTAACGTCTTCAAAGGAAACGGAATGAAAAGGGAGATTCTAATTAGTGACAACTTTGTTATCCAATCACTACATCCTGACCGTGTGATAAGACTAATGATGTGACCCCTGACCTCTGCTTTCTCTGCAGCTGTGAGCCTGCTGTGCTGATGTTCTTCAGAGGGGAACTTCTCCTCTGTGAATTTTTTCCACATGCGTACTTGTACATAGCCAATTAAAAATGTGGCTAAAGGGAACTCCTGCAGAGTGCTACTTCGTTCAACAAAATAAAAAGGTTTTCTTAAATCCTTTTGTAGCTCCAGAGGAAGCCTGAAATCTGGTTAATTGCCTCAAGTGATGTCACTCAAGTCGGATAAAAGTTGTAAAGTGAGACCTCTGTAGCCTGACGGCCCCTACACACGGCGGCGTGCGTTGAAGCTTGGCGGTGGGCGTGTCTGAAGCTTGGGGAGTTAACGCGACCAACAACCAATCACATGAATCTCATGTTATTATATAATTACATGTCACACTTTATATGATGAACATTTATGACATTAATGTCTATGGTGCTATTTTATGTAACATTGCATGGTGGCTAAATATACTGTCTATGCCTGCTAGCTGTCCATTCAAACGAAGTACACTGGATATAAACTCCCCAAACAGGCGAAAACCTACCAGTTTCACCCACTGTCTCTGCCACCTCCCTCCATGCCTGGCTCCTCCGGTTTGTATCCCGGTAGGTGAACAGGGACTGGTCATACAACACCGGGTGATTCCCTACCGCGACAATGATTTTGTCCTCCATTTTTTGGAACATGAGGAAATGACCTGCGGTATGGCTCTCCCAGCATACACGCGGTTTGATTGGCTAGCGCTTGTACTGGCAGATTTGCATAAACGGGATTTGATTGGCTGACGCTTCCGTCGAAGCTTCAAAAGTAGAACATTGCTCTACTTTTGAAGCGAGCAAAGCAAAGCTCCCACAATGCAGTTCGGCAAGGCGTGACGTCACCCCATTGAAAGTGAATGGGCAGAAGCGTTGAAGCTTCAACGCACGCCGCCGTGTGTAGGGGCCGTGATAGTCCTCTTAGCTTGAGGCTTACTTTATTTTCTACCACTATTATAACACAACTGAATCTCAGACCAATTTGTCATCAATGGAATTGCATTCTGGGTAATGTAGTTACAAGGATTCAATGAAAAAGAATAATTAATGGAATAAAACATATGGTAGGAATCAAATCGATATTTTTTTTTCAAACAGCCATTGTGAGTCTGACAATGCACTCTTTTGTTATAACAGTGCATTGTTATTGTGAATAACCAAAGAAGGTCAAAGGAACACAACCTAAATGGACAATACGTTTTTTAATATAATGCGATTGTGTCATTACTAAATGTTTCTATCGGTAAATAAAAAAATCTTACTGTGTTACATATAGTGGTAGCTGTGGGACAGAACTAACTTGCAGTGAGTAAACTGTGTGTGGCTGTCAGAGAGCCTGAACACCTTTAAACTTGTCGAGACATTTTGCACAGGTTGCTATCGAGAAGTTATTTATTGTTCTGCAGAAACATTTACTGACACAGATGCTGCATTCATGTGGTGTCAAGGTTCTGCAAATATGTGGTGAGCTCAAGGATGGCATTTGATAATGATAGTTGTGCGCAAAAGAAATTGCCTGAAGCCACATAAAAGCTTCACTTCACTAACTTCAAAGCTGAAATTAAATCATCTACCTGATAGACGCTTTTCAGAGATGTGCAAAAACATTCTACTGTGATGGAATGCAGCCTTCATTTACTGTCAGAAATAATGCACCATTGAAAAAGAAGGACAAATACAGTTTCTAACTCACATAAACTATTATATTTCTATCATTTTTGTCAGAGTAATATATAAGCCGTAAGCTAACTTTTAATGAAATGTTGACACAAAGAAGTTACATAAATGCTTTTGAACAGAAACAGTTTGTCACACTGTGAGTCGGTCATCTTCCTAAAACACACAGTGCCCCCCTGTCATGGTGCTACTATGAGCCCCCTCTGTGTAATTGCCCCTTTAGAGCCTTTTGAAAGGCCTTATTGTAGGTCTCTAATTAACTCGCTAAAATTGAATTGAATTTGAGCAGCTTATGCTTCCTGCTCAAGGTGAGTGAGTTTGTCGCTTCTTGTGTGGAGAACAAAGGCTTCAAGGATAACTGAGGTTTAAGTTTCTGTGTCCTTTATTTACTTACTCTCCAGCTTATGAGTCTGTCCTTGAGATGAATCTAAATGTTTAAACACCTGGCCAGCAGAATGATGTCTCTGCAGATATTTTATGATTAGGGGAACAGTAAACTAACATCTCCCCTCTCCTTCCTTTCAGTGATCCTGTTCTGCATGGCGGCGCTCATCTTCCCCATAGGCTTCTATATCAACGAGGTGGGGGGGCAGCCGTACAAGCTTCCCAACAACACGGTGGTGGGCTCCTCGTACGTGCTCTTTGTCCTCTCCATCTTCTTCACCATAGTGGGACTTCTGTTTGCCGGCAAAGTCTGCCTCCCAGGCTGAGGACTGCACGGCGCCCGCCTCTGGACTGACACACGAGGCTCTGAAAATGTTACGGGATTTACAAAAACACAATGACTGAAAATTAAGAACAACAAACTCTGGCTAAAAGCCTGACACAGGGAAGTCTTTGATTTTGTGTCAAGGGACCGCAGCACCACGGAGTATCTAACGAACAAAAAGACTAAAAGAGGCGACATGGACACAATAGGGTGGAGGAGAGAGAGAGGGAGAGGGAGAGAGAGAGAGAGAGAGGGCGGCAGAGGCTGCTGCAGCACCCTGCCACTGTTGATTTAAAATATGGCCATCTCTGTTGTTGTTCTGTTGGAAGAGGGTGCTTAATGTGCTGCTGTCATGGCAACTGCGGTCACAATGCTGGCGCCCATTTCTTGAGGACCACTCCTCCCCTCGCCCGGCCGCCCGCTGCAGCGCCCTCAGCACACACCCGCGCCGTCACGACTGCTCCCGATGCTATTTTTGGCTCCTCTTAACTATTTCTGTTGCGTGTTGTTTTGTTTTTGTACATTTTGTGTTCTCGTTTTGTTTGTTTTTCCTTCCAACCTCTGCCGCCTTTTCACTTAAGTAGCTTGAGTGTTATTGAGGCTCACTGAGCTGAGTCTTTGAGGGTCGTTTTTTGTTGCCAGCTTGGCTTTAGAGCAGGGTTTATTCTCGCCCACCACTTCCCGAGGCCCCAGGTGTGCGGCTGGGCTGAGCAGCTGTGAGCGCAGCTGTCTGCTGTGGATGAGAGGGGGGGCAGGTCTGAGAGGGGGGGGGGGGGGGCAGGTCTGCCGCCTCTCAGGCTCCCACCAGCTGCAGCTCAGGAGCAGGTAGCAGTGTAGGGCCACCCCCCCCCCCCGGGCCGCAGACGGGAGGGCGAGTAATGTAAAGGAGAATGCCACTCAATGGATGACCTAGCATTTTGTTTATCTGTACGCTCGGCAACAGAGTATTAGTAAGCTTAACCCGTGACACGGATAAACATCTTTGCCAATAACTAGAAAAACTGTGCATTTAGAAAAGGATCATCTGAATATAAAGACAACTCTTGTATTTGTTGTAATGATTCTGTTAAACACGACCACAAGCACAGTGGCTTTTTCAAAGTAGAGTATTGCATCACTGTGGTGTTACATTTTAGAAGGGTAGAGATGACCTTGTATATCACTAATTGTAGCAGACAGTATGGACTTTATATGAATAGAAGATAAAGTTGAAAATAACATAAGCGAATCATGGCAATTGGTGGTATTCTCCTTTTTTAATGTTGGACAGGAAGGAAGCGAGCCAGGAGCTTTTTTTGTCTTGTGGAGGCACAGGGACTGCAGGTCAGGTCCATGGGGCTGGGCCTCAGGGTGCTCCGTTTGAGGTCTGTGATTGTAAAACACACACACACACACACACACACACACACACACACACACTTACACTTGTCTGTATACTGTATATATGCAGCAACAAACTATTATTTTTCATTTCGTAATGCTTCATTCATTTTCATGCAACAGCTTTTAACTTAACAAACACAGACACGGAGGTGCAGATTACTGTGACCCTCAAAAGTCAAACTTGGTCCCACAACTCTTCCCCTGCTTTATCAAGAGCACCAACATTTTTCAGCTAACTCGCCTTTATCAAGGTGGTCTCTAAGGTTTATTTTTTCTTGTTCTAAGCCATAGTCATGCTCGTAAGAACTACAAATCCCATGACTTGTAGGCTCTAGGGGATGTCAACATAAAGTACAGTGTTGCCATGGATGCAGTGAGTTATGCTGTGAACTACAGGTTAAGATGTACTTTAATTTGTACATATATTTGTTCACATGGTGACAAATTGGCCATATTTAAGTATTGGTTACTAGGATACCAGTTTAGCTAGCCTTTTACCGACTTCGGTAGTTCATCTAATTTTTCAAACTGGTTATTCAAAATCCTGTAGACCCAAATTACATTAAACCAATATTTCTGAAAACAGTTTGATTTATAAATATCAAAAGTCCATCTACGGTTAACATCCTTCAACTATCCCTCCCTATCAAAATAGCTGCAGGTGTTTTTGGTTTTTCGATTGCACCTCCACATATATGTACAAAAGTACACTTATAAGCTTATACTTTACGTATTCACACTTATAACAACTTTTAGGAGCATAGAATCTACTGACCCTCTGTGTGTGTGTGTGTGTGTGTGTGTGTGTGTGTGTGTGTGTGTGTGTGTGTGTGTGTGTGTGTGTGTGTGTGTGTGTGTGTGTGTGTGTGTGTGTGTGTGTGTGTGTGTGTGTGTGTGTGTTGTGTGTGTGTGTGTGTGTGTGTGTGTGTGTGTGTGTGTGTGTGTGTGTGTGTGTGTGTGTGTGTGTGTGTGTGTGTGTGTGTGTGTGTGTGTGTGTGTGTGTGTGTGTGTGTGTGTGTGTGTGTGTGTGTGTGTGTGTGTTCTGTTGCACAGTCTTTACAGTTTGTTTTATACTTCTGTTTCCTGTTCAGCTTCTCTCCCTCTCAGTCTGATGAAATGTACGGCTGCGACACTCTGCAGTGCTTCCCCCCCCGTCTTGGTCGGCCCGTATTGTGCCATGACCTGTTTTTGTTTAATAATGTACAGACACTCAAAAGGCAGGATCTCTGTATTAGGAAGCACTGTGCATTGGACAGTATAGGTAACATAGAAGCACCACAAATGTATAAAAAAGAGAGAACTTCTTACCTCATTGTTTTTGTTTCTGCTATTATTTTCTAATGGTGGCAATGTGTGCCCACAAATTGTCTCTTGCCTTGATCGGATGTCTTCACATAAAGCCTATGATCATAGGAAATTATTTATCACTGAATAAAAAGAGGAAAAACGGGTGTGTGTTGCTCTGATACAGTTTTTATGATGTATTGTGCTCATTTAAAGGGGACCTATCATGCAAAATGCACTTTTGAACGTCTTTTATACATGAATATGTGTCCCCGGTGTTCCAGGGAACTCACCAAGTGTCAGAAAACACAACCCTCTCTATTTTCCTCCATACCCAAATCTCTAAAAAAGGGGCTGCAACGGATCTGATAAAAACTGATCCAGATTTGAACACTGTCCTGACGTCAGGACGGTGGCGCTACGGCTATTGGGCCAACTCCACCAATCAGGAGGAGACAGCCACGGCCATTGCCGTTCGAAAGCGCTGGAGACGCTGTAGTACATATGCCAGGCCAGTAGATGGTGCTGTTCTCACAGAATCAGCCCTTGCAAAAACAGAGCTAACATTTTTCAAATTGAGCTAAATGAGGCATGGCTAAAATGCATGATCTGTTTGGTATTTTGAAAAAAAAAAAGTATAAATATGCCTTATATAGGTATGGTCCTACACTATATTATTCAAATATAGCATGATAGGTCCACTTTAAGGGGATGTGAATGGCAAAACACAACTCATCATCTAATCTTAAACTATTTATCTGAAAATGAACATGCTACTTCTGCAGGATGGGATTCAGATGTCCTTCTACTCTTCATTGAACTTGAAAAAAAAACTGACTTCAAGGGCAGCCTCTCGGGATGCAGCAGTGAAAGGACGATCTGTGTTCCCAGAGTGCATCTGTTAAATACTGTCAAATGGCCTTGAAGTCTATTTTTAGAGAAGTATTGTCTAAGCCAAGTGATCTAATGAGGTTAGTTATCTTCAGAATTTCGTTTTGCAAAGGCAACTTTTCCTTCAGAATAACACTTGCTTATCTACACATCATGTTTAAGAGTCTGCGTAAAACATTTGCGAGAAAACATTTCTCATAAAGGAGCGCAGTAGTTGCACCCTTTATTTTTACCTTCACCGATTGTCAGAATTATTTGATTTGTTATTGAACGAGAGGGCAGCTTTTGATTGCAACCGAACTTACGAGAGGTCAGGTTTTAAGGAATTAAAAAAATTACATTTTAGACAAGGTTTTGACTGAGTTTTTAAAGTAATAGCTTTACATTTTAGGGCAGACATTTGCTTCCATACATATTGTCCTAAGAGAAGATCGATCCATGCAACCAATGTTTGTGTTTTTAAATATGAAGCTATCACCAGCAGCTGGCTAGCATAGCTTAGCATGATGTCTGTAAACAGGGGTAACATCTAGCTTACCTCTCTTTAGGCAGGCTAGCTGTTTCCAGTCTTTTTCGTAATGTAAATGTTAGCTGGCCGTAGCTTCCCGTTTAGCAGAGTACCAATGTTTGTATTTCCTAAAAGTATTCCTTTAAAGCTCATGAAAACTGCCCGAAAACAATACCATCTTCTGAAGTTGGGTTTATTAGTTATCAGTTCATTGTTTATTCCGATCAACATTGACACCCATCAAACCCGCTCAACCAATGCACAACAACAGTTCAAACTCAGGACTCCTAAGGAAAGCAGATATATATCACACTTTACACGAATAGCCACAGAGATTTGAGGACCAGTGTTCAACTCTCGACACAAGCCTACCAAAAACAGGTTTTCTTCACACATTCAGCTTGAGGAGTTTCCTTGGCCTGCTATGTCTCTCTGGCGCTGTGCAGCGTGTCTCCTCTCAGGACTGCACCTCCATTAACCTCTCAGTGACCTGCAGAGATGAGCATAGCGTTTCCATTTAGGATTTCAGAAGGTCACAGTATTTCGGCTCAGCGTATCACTTCAGTTCAGACATCGCTCTGCTCTCTGAAGGCAGAACTAGAGGAAAAAGCACTAATGAAAATGTGATCTCGTCCGTAATGCAGAGGCTCCTTAAACATGATTCTGTAATCTCACCTTTTTTCATGAAACACTCTGCCACAATGTCTAAAAATAATTCAAGGGAAAAAAGAAACAGATTGTTTAAGTGATGCATTTTTTATATAACATAGAAATATACAATAAAGAATTTGAGTTAAAAAATCAACATTCAAAAGTGCTTCATAATATAATTTGAATAAAAGGAAAACACTTACAACTCCAACTGAAATTCAGCATTTCGTTTCAGAGTAAGCGTTAAAAGGTTACAAGCAGTCTTACTGTGTGACACATGCTTCTCATCTACCTTGAAGAATAAGTTCTCATGGTTGCTCCTATGTTGTTTGCTTTCACCCCCTCAACTCAATTGTCTATGTTATCCGCTCTCACAATATGTGTGTAAAGCAGTATCACCCTGCATTAAGTACAGAGGGGGCGAGCGTATAAAGGAGGCCTCACAGATGCGACTGCTAGACTTGATTTAGTCGGCCCCCCTGATCGACAGCACATGCTTAATAGTGAGTTATTGGAAGATAGATGAACACTGACAGACCCCAGATCAGGTCTTTCAGTCTAGATGAAGGTGGGAGTCATTTCTCTGGCCCAAAAAATCATCGTTATAACTAACCAGTAGGTTCGCTAAGAAAGGAATGTGCAGTCCTTTAAAAGTGAAGCAGATTATAACCTATAAAAACCTTCCACAGTGTCCATATTTTAATGCCAATTAAAATGAGCAACCTGAGTGTTGCAGCAATACACATTATGCTGGATGGTAATGAATTACAACTGCTTTACCTCAACGAGATTTGATTAGAAGAGTTACGGGTTTGTTACAAGAAATGTCAACATGCAGTACATTATGATGAATTGCTGCAATACAACTTCCATTAGAGGATTTATTCTGGGACTATGTTTCACTTTACTGCTGGGAGCTCAATATATTTAATGCGACAACACCGAGCAATCCTTTTCTAATATTGTGAAAATGTCTGTCGTTTAACAACAGTCTGCCATCTGCTGAACCAATATGTCTTGATGTGTACCCTCTGCTCTGGTTTATATCACGTTTCCCAATTCACAGAGACAATATGGGAGATCTAAGAAGTATGACAGAAGAATGGCTCTGGACTCAAAAGACACATATTGGCATTTCCAGCCGAAATGATCCAATTATCTTTTTATCTCAGCATCTTTACCGTGTTAGATTCAGTCCAATAAATCTTCTGATGAAATCTGATTTGTTGTCATTTGCTGTTTCACATCACATTGAAGACAGAAATACATAGAATGCAGAATGCTTTCCTGTTTCGTGACATAACATAAGTTGTGTGGGTGGAGGAAGCGTTGACCGAAAATATTCTGCAGCACCACCTATTCCTGTATTTTATAGAAAGTGTGTGTGCACAGTGCTCCTTCCATGAACGCTGTGCTCATGGTTTACAGTGTGCTGTCCTTCCCGTCTGCCCGCTAAGATAGATTATAGTGTCAGCATGCTGCCAGGAGCACTTAGAGGGAAATATCGCTGCCATCTGTTCTCAGGAGAGGCTGATCCAGATTGTTGTGCTCCACCTGAGGATCTATCTTTGCACATTCACCCTATCCTTCTAAAGAGTCGCCTCATGTTTTAAGAGATCCAAAAGTACTCTGCTTGGAAAATAATTTGTGTTAAATTAACTGCTTCCTAAAATTCTTGAAAATCTCCCTTTCTCTCGTTGGAAAATCCAGAATCTATAAATGTAATATTGTACAAGTTAAACTAGACACAAGATGTCTCTGAATGTCCTTGAATAGCCCACTCAAAGTGTATTTGCACCGCAAATACAAGTTTCCACATCACACTTGTGTTTCATGTTACACAATGGACCTTAATTGTTTCCAAACAAAAATGGTGCTTATACATTCAGGAATATTTCTGCAAATCTCATATATCACAATAAAGTAAGAACAAGCAGAATACATCTTTGAATTGATCGAGGACCTTAAAAAAGGCCCTGAAATATGTTTCCAATGACATGCCATAACGAATCTTTATAATCACAATATAAAATGCTTTATTGATTCAGAGCTTTGCCTTCACATAGTTGCTGTTATTAAAAACACTCAAGGCATTCTTTATAGGTCTAAACAATCTTTTTCTTTTACAATAATGTCGATGCTGATTTTGCTTCCTGTATCATTACCAAGTTCCATCTTTATGTTCATTTCCAAATGCATTCAATTAAATCACAGAGTTTATTTGACAATGCTTTTACAGCCACATACTGTGTCTGCTACAAAAAGGTCTATGTAAGCAGTAAAAAGCCAATATACACAGCGGCATCAAAGTGATGTGAGTCGCCGGTCTGACTCCTCACAGATGCTTTTTTAGTGCTAACTTTAGCTATTGATCCTTCAGTAGGTGGGCGGCAGAGGACGCAGCGATGATTCCTGTCAGACGGATGTTTGTCTGCGGCTCGTCAGCACTGCAGATCTGCTGCTGAGGCAAGAAGAACAGGAATAAGACTGAAGAGTAATCACAATACTA